CTCAGTAGCGCATGGGGTTAGTGGCTACCGTACTGGCCAACACAGTCTAATTTAGAATAATGGTTTCTATTATTTTGGTTATTTCTAGTATATCTATTATTTCTAGTATTTTGTTGGGAGACCATCTTCTTCAGAAGAAATCTTAGGCTGGATCCTACGATGCAAATGGACCCGAGCAGAGCCACTCAGATTGGAGTGGGGAACCCAGGCAGAATCTCAAAAGCCCCAGAATGCCCTCCTCTGGCCCTCATACCACTCCCAGGCAGTCCTGGAGGCAAGGCCATGAAAACTCTGCCATGCTGTGGCTCCCACCTTCCCCTATCTGCAACTGACTCCCATCTTTGAAAGAACTGGCCTTCCGAACACACTTGCATTAAGTTACCATTCATTTGTATTCTCTTATTTTCATTCCAGAGGCACCTATAGTTCCTGCTCAAAACTTCTAATTAGAATAAGATAAATGAGGGGATACATTGAATTGGGGGTACGGTGGGAGGGTGGTAGAAAGTTAGCATTATCCCTACCCATATCATAGTAAATATGGTGTTGGCTTTCCATTAGATTTTCTGATACCGCCATTACTAGATGCGTGGGCCTTTATTCTAACTAGGATTGCCAGATAAAACCCTATATTCTGATGTGCTAAATCTGACAATCCTGATTCCAGTGTCCTAAGGCACTGCAGTGGGCTAGAGCCCTTGGGTTTTTCATCAAGACCAGGCAACCATCATTAGGTTATTTAATGTCTCAACCTCAGCCAACCAAAACAGAACACTAGCTTTTTAAGAATTTTTTTTTTTTTTTTTGGCGGGGATTGTAGAAATTATTAGTGATCTTGTAAGCACAGTCTGAAAACGTATACATATCTTTAATTGGGTTTGAGATCTCCTCAGTGGATTAAGGATGATGGTTCTGAAGATTCCCGGTCTCAAAAGTTCATCAACACATCCAGAACCATGAAATACTATTCAGGGCCAAAAAGGGAGAGCAATCAAGCCACGACAAGACACAGAGGAAGCATAAATGCATATTACTGCGTGAAGGAAGCCGATCTGAAAAGTCTATAGATTGTAGGATTCCAACTGTGTGACATTTTGGAAAAGGCAAAACTATGGTGGAAACAGTAGAAGGCCAGCGGTTGGTCGCCAGGGGTGATGGAGAGAGAGAGATGAAGAGACAAAGCACAGAGGATTTTAAGGCAGTGAATATACTCTGTATGACAGTCTCATGATGGATATGTATTATTATACATTGGTCCAAACCCATAGGATGTACAACAGCAAGAGAGAACCCTAAGGTAAACTAGAGACTTTGGGTGAAAATGATATGTCTATATAGGTTTATCTTTGGGTAAGAAAAGGAAAAAAAAAAAAGTACCATGCTAGTGAGTGTTGATAACAGGGGACCCTACGCACATGGTAGGAGCAGAGTCCACAGGAAATCTCTGTGTCTTCCCCTCTATTTCGCTGTAAACTTAAAATTCCTTTAAAAAAACAGTCATACAAAAGAAGTTCATCAACACATTCTACCTGATAATGTACGCAAAGGATGGCTGGTCCTAGCTGGGTGCATCTTGCAGCTGTTCTGAGGTCTCCTCCTCCTGTATTTGACTTGAACCCTAGATGGGCCTGCTGGAAGCCTTCCATGTATGGGGCTCACGGTATGTACCATCCTACGCTCACCGTGCCGCACACAGCCGGGGTTGCTTAGTGAATCTTCCGGTTTTGCAAGATCTAGATTACAAAACTGGGGGACAGGTTTGCTCCTGGGTTATAAACTGGGTGAAAAAAAAGGATGGATTCCAAGGTACCTCCCTAAAACACTAGCTGTCATATTACAAAATGAGGAGATACAAAAATTACAGGGAAAATTTTGTAACCTAAATAAGCAATTTACCAACTGGATTGCATTCATTCACAGTTGACTGTCCAGTGGTATCTATCAGAGTCGTAAAAAAAATATGCCAAAGCACTGGACAGGGTGAGGGTAGGTGACAGATGGCCCCCCAAGGCCTTATATTATTACCTTTGTATGCAGTTGGTTCCTCCATAATTATCTCATTCCTTACCTTTATGCATTTAACTTTTTATTTATCCTCCTCGCAAAATTGTTTGAAATAAATATCCATGCTGGTAGCCAAAACCACTGTAGTCTTTCCAGCTTCCTCTTCCCGTGTGGAATGACACCATGGATGTCCTCAGGGGTTGCTCTGTGTTGCTGAACTCAACCTGTGGGGGTCAGTCCAAGGGAAAGCCAGTAGTGAGTTCTGAATTCTAAGGAAATCTCAAAGCCATCTTTATAGGTCCCACAGTTGTTGCAGATTCTTAGAAGCAATGACAAATGTAGGTTGTTAAACTTGGAAACAATAGGAAAACAATCTGGAAATTAACAAACTGCCTTTGGCAAAAGACTCTGCGTACCCAGGGTGTATGCATTGTGCAATAAATCAATATAAGGAGATATAACTGGTGACAGGTAGTGCCTTTGGGGATCACCCAGGTATATATATCCAATAAGGGGTTAATATCCAAAATATATAAAGAACTCCTACAACTTAACGAAAAAAAAATCTGATTGCAAAATGGGCAGAAGTCTGGAATAGACATTTTTCCAAACAAGACATGCAAATTACCTACAGTCAATGAAAAGACATTCAACATTACTCATCAGAGAAATGCAAATCAAAACCACAATGAGATTTCTACCTTAGACTGGTCAGAATGACCAATACCAAAGAGACAAGAAATGGCAGGTATCGGTGATGATGTAGAGAAAAGGAAACCCTTGTACACTATTTGGTAGGAATGTAAATTGGTACAGCCACTACAGAAAACAGTATGGAGATTTGTCAAAAATTAAAAATAAAAATACAGTATGATCCATTTTACTCAAAGAAAATACAAACACTAATGTGAAAAGATACATGCATCTTAAGTTTCTAGCAGCATTCCTTACAATAGCCAAATTACAGTAGCAGCCCAAGTGTCCATTGATAGATGAATGGCTGAAGAAGATGTGGTATACATACAAATGGAATGTTCCTCATCCATAAAAAAGGAATGAAATCTTACCATTCATGACAACGTGGATGGACTTAGAGCATACAATGCTGAATGAAATAAGTCAGACAAAGAAAGACCAATACCATATGATTTCATTTCTACATGGAAGCCAAAAACAAACCCAAAAAACAAAAAAACAAGATAAATGAACAAACAAGTAGATTTATAACTACAGAGAACAAACTGGTGGTTGCCAGAGGGCAGGGGGTGGGGTGGGAGGGCGGGTACAATAGTGAAAGGGATTTGGAGGTACAAACTTCCAGTTATAAAATAAGTAAGTCACAGGGATGAAAAGTACAGCATAGGGAATATAGTCAATAATATTGGAATAACGTTGTGTGGTGGCAGATGGTGACAATACTTGGCGTGGTGGACACTTCATAATGTACATAATTGTTGAATCACTGTTGTGCACCTGAAACTGATAAAATACTGTATGTCAACTACACTTAATTGAAAACTTAAAAATAATAAAATGGCTTTAAATTGGTGTCACTACAGGCAGCCCCCGATCTAAGAAGCTGCTGGATAATGAAGGCTTATTCTCTAAACTGTTGTTCAGAGCTCAGAATTTTTTTCCATAGAAACACCATATGATGGAGCTCACTGATCAGACATGAAAGTTGATTTAACTACTAGTGATTGTGACGGACAGGACTCAAGGATCTACTTCAAATTCAACTAACCACTCTGTACAGTATTCTTCTCGTGGGAAGACCTATATCAAGTTCCAACTCACAATGTCAGGCACATTCCATGACCCCATCCATCTCCTTGCTCGTTTTTGAAATTCTCAGCAAAAACACCAGGACCTTCCTAATGGAATGAATGAGAATTCAGGTCTCCTGTCTCCAAATCCTTTCTGGAAGTTATCCCTTAATATCTGGGCAAAAGGTAATGCTTGGGTCAGTCATTCTTAGGGTCTCTGAATTAGGAGAGTAGGGTGTTACCTCCACAAAAACGGAGCCTGTAGATTCTGACCTCCCCTACTTGGTGGGTCATAAGGGGTTAAGGCAAAGAGTATGATTGAAAGAACATTTACTGTAGGTCAACAAATGTGAATTTGAATCTTGACCATTATCTATGTACACTTGAATGAATGACTTGACATATCTGGGTCTTACTTTTCATTTATTTTAAAAAATAATAAATAGGGGAACCTGAGTCCTCAGTCGGGCAAACATCTGACTCTTGATTTCAGCTCAGGTCATATCAGGCTTGCAAGATCCAACCCTGTGTCAGTCTCCATACTGGGCATGGATCCTGCTTGGGATTTTTTCTCTCCCTTTCCCTCTGCCCCTCTCCATGTCTGTCTGTCTGTCTCTCTCTCTCTCTCGTTCTCTCAAATTAATTAATTAATTAATAATAGTAATAAATAAATAGCATGCCAAATTTTTGGAAAGAAAGTTTTTAGCTTTCAAGAGAACTTCTAAGGAATCCATCCTCCCCAAATTAAGAACAAGTGGTCAAAAGGATCTGCTAAATTCTTTTAGCACTGCCTTTTAAATTCTAAGTCTAGTCTTTCTTAGGAGCTGCCTGACCATGATTTCCTCACCAACTGAGTATCAGGACCCTCCAAACCATCTGCTATCATTCTCCTCCTTCATGTCAGTTAAACAATAAGCAGAATGACAAAAGTTTTATGCCCTTTCTACATGATTTCCCATTCTCCAAAAATCTTTCTTTTTGCTGTCATCAAAGATCTATCACTTCACAACCCTCCATTTCCAAATGAGCATTTACGTTGACTGGACTTCTAGGTCTTCACTTGGTGTCTTCCAGACTTTCCCACCCCCCCCATCTCCTCAATCAATCCACCCTTCTACATGTCAATTTGCTTGACATGTTCCTTGCTCCTAAAGTTTTGGACCCAAGACAGGTTGAAATCTAAGGTCAGCCCTCATAATTTAGGATCACTTTATTTTTTTTTCCTTTCAGGAAAAGGAGCACTTAATTGCTTATCCTGTGTGTGGAGTTACCATCTAGCAGGAGGAATCTGCACCTCGGACTGTCTGGTGGGAGAATACAGAGTGGGAGAGGTACTGAGAGCTGGGCAGGCTGTGCCCTCCTCCATTTCTGCAGAGGTGTGGGAGGTCGTTCTGGGAAAATCAGGAAGTCTTACAATTCCCATGCTTGCTCTAGTTTTATAACCTTCTACCACCGCATCACAGAAGGGTGCTACCCACCTGTAGCCTTTATCGCCAAGCGACTGAGATGACCTAAGATAAATAATGGGGAAGTTAGATAATGAGGACCTCAGATTTATCTCTACATTCATTGCTCATGATCTTAAAAGTTTCGGCGCCACTTAAGAATATTATATCAGAGATAAAAAATATTAGGGTGCCTGGGGGCTCAGTCGGTTGAGCATCGGACTCTTGATTTTGGCTCAGGGTCATCATCTCATGGTCCTGGGATCGAGCCCCAGGTCAGGTTCTACGTTCAGTGTGGAGTCTGCTTGAGATGCTCTCTCCTTTTCCCTCTGGTCCTTCCCCACTCAAAACCCCCCACCAATAAATAAATCTTAAGAGAAAGAAGAAATATCTTCTCTCCTACTCCTCTGCTGTCTCACCTGAAATGCCTGAATAATGTCAAAACTACACAACTGCTGCGGTCCTTCCATTTCCTCCACCCTGCACAGTGTATTAAGAGAGATATATTTCATTTCCTTGCCTAGAAACCAGGGAAATTCTGAATTCACTAACATCTTGTGCTTCCAAGCTGTAGAAACTAAGCAAATCTCTTAATGGTGAAATTAACATGACCCAACATATTCACATAGGAGTTCTCTTTACATCCTTCCACCTTGGAGAAACTCCTCCATTTCAGAGAGATTAGATAATTTGCTAACAATCACCTGGGTAGTAAGTAACAAAGCTGGGATTGAACCCAGGGGTCCTGACAGCTAACCCAGGATTTGGTAAGACAATCACAGCTGAGACAGGATCAGCACCTGAAATGTGCTCAAAGGCTCAACAAAGGCAATTTCCATTCCTTCCTTTTCTACCATACCACCCTTCCAAAGCACGGAAGTAAAACAGGAAGACATCGACATTTTTAGCACCACTGAAGCAGCCTCTTGTCAGGAGGGAAGCCACTTTCTCCTTATCTCTTATTTCACTGTTTTAGCTAAACAGTCACAAATATTATGATGGGGCAGGGCCACACACGGCATCTAACAGCACAGAGGCCAAGGGGACTAATGAGTGCAGGTGTCAGGTCAAAGAAAACCCCAGGGCAGACCTGATGAAACGTGGAATTGGATGGGTCACCTGTATTGGTGACATTGGAGCAAGGTTCTGGGGATTCTCTCAACTAGGACAGCACAAAAAGAGGGTCCCTTCCCCTCAGCTGTCTGGGATGTTGCCATGTGGGAGTGATGACCATGTTGACAGTCTAGTTTTTAAAGAGAAACTAGGAACTGATTTACAAGTGAAATATCCCAGTTTTGAAATGTGGGCAATGAACTGAAAATTTTATAAAGGGTGAAGGTCCATTTCGTAATGAGCCAGACACAACTTGTCCTTGACCAGGTACAGCACATGAGCTGTCTGTTCTGTAACTTGAGCGGTTCTAGAAGCCTGTTCTCCCACTGTTGTTACCAGAGGATCTCAGAAGCAGAGACCCAGCAGTGGTTTCCCCCAAGTGCAGCCAGGTGGGCCTTTCACCTTAAACCGTGAAAGTGGACCCAGAACAAGCTGTCTTTCTTCTGTCCCCCACATGCCTCCCTTCCTCATGGAGACAAAATGGAATTCCCACCTGGGAAATCCAGTGCCTTGTTGATTCCTCCACACTCAAAAAGAATCTCCCAATTGTTCTTACCAGGGGGAGAAGTTTAACTGTGAAAAATGTGATGAGAGCTGCGTGGAATGCAAGGGACCTGGCACTAAGAACTGTACGGTGTGCCCCGCCAACTTGGTGCTGTTTGTGGATGACGGCCGTTGCCTACACTGCTGTAATGGGTCCGATTCCTCTAACGCCCAGGACTGCTGTGACTGCCGGAACACCACAGGTGAGCCGAGAGGAAGAGCAGCCTGCAGAGGAAGGGCCTAGACTCCAGAAGGGGATGAGAGCACAGGGGAGAGAGGATAGAAAGTTCTGGAGAACAAATAGAGCGATCTTTTTATTGAGTGCCTGCTATGTGCTTACCATCCCTAAAACTTTCTGTCCATCAACTCATAGAAGTAGATCCTTTTAATTTTAAACTTTTTTTAAACATTTATTTATTTCAGAAAGAGAGTGTGAGAGCACAAGTCGGGGGAGGGACAGAAGGAGAGGGAGAGACAGAATCTTCAAGCATACTGCCTGCTGAGTGTGGAACCCAAGTCGGGGCTTGATCCAAAGACCCAGAGGTCATGATCTGAGCTGAAATCAAGAGTCAGCCACTTAACCAACTAAGCCATCCAAGTGCCTCTATGTAGAATTTTTTAAGGAATCTCTATACCCAACCTGGGGCTCTAACTCATGACCCCAAGAGTCTCATGCTCTATCTACTGAGCCAGCCAGGCACCCCTATAAGTAGGTATTCTTAATCCCCTTTTGCAGATGAGGAGACCAAGATTCAAAGGGTTTGATTAGCATGTTCAGGTACACAACAATGTTAAGGGATCATCTGGAGTTAGACTGTAGGTCCTTCAGACTGCAAAGCCTGCACTCTTTCCACTACCATGCCGCCACTAAGATAACTCAAGTTGGTCTAGAAACTCATCTTTTTTTTTTTTAAAGATTTTATTTATTTATTTGTCAGAGAGAGAGAGGGAGAGAGAGCAAGCACAGGCAGACAGAATGGCAGGCAGAGGCAGAGGGAGAAGCAGGCTCCCTGATGAGCAAGGAGCCCGATGTGGGACTCGATCCCAGGACGCTGGGATCATGACCTGAGCCGAAGGCAGCTGCTTAACCAACTGAGCCACCCAGGCGTCCCTAGAATCTCATCTTTTAAAAAAGATTTTATTCTACAGAAGAGAGAAAGTGCACACACACACATGGGCATGTGAGTGAGGGGAGAGGGAGAGGGAGAATCTCATGCAGACTCCCCACTGAGCGTGGAACCAGACTCAGAGCTCAATCTTATGACCCTGAGATGATGACCTGAGTGGAAATCAAGAGTCAGACCCTTAACAGACTGAGCCACCCAGGTGCCCCTAGAATCTCTTTTTTATAAACTTACTATCTTCTTTTTTATTCTTCTCTCCTGGGGGGGAAAAAAAAGGAAAAGAATCAACTATCAAAGAAGCTGATGTCAGTGTTACCTTGATTCTGCTATAGACTCATTCTATGGAAGTTAGCCCAAGTCCAGGGCTCCCCTTAGAGACTTAAAGCATTTTATTTATTTATTTTTTTAAAGATTTTATTTATTTGACAGAGAGAGATCACAAGTAGGTAGAGAGGCAGGCAGAGAGAGAGGAAGGGAAGCAGGCTCCCTGCCAAGCAGAGAGCCCGATGCAGGGCTCGATCCCAGGACCCTGGGATCATGACCTGAGCCGAAGGCAGAGGCTTTAACCCACTGAGCCACCCAGGTGCCCTGACTTAAAGCATTTTAAAAATGAACATTCAACAAAGGCTAAAAGGAAACAAAATTCCTTTTACCTATTCCCAGGCCCTCAACTGCCTCCTTCTCCCAAACCCATCCATATGTATATGGGTACTTGGGCTTCACAGGCCACAAACTCAGAAAGATCCCAAATGGAGTGATTCTGCCTTAAATAAATAAATAAATATTTATTTATTTATTTATTTATAAAATATTTGTATTTATATGTTTATTATTTATTATATATTTTTCTTCTTAAAATACATTCTCTAGTCCAGAAGCAGATCATTTCCTTGGGGTTCAGATGTATCTGGCCTGACAAAAAGACATCATATTTACGTGAGCCTGTCCATGTATAAATGAAGTAAAGCTCAGACCCATAACTGCTACTGGCCATTTTTAAAAAAATTTTCTTGTTAGCTTTTTCAATTAAATTCTAAAATCATCTTTCCAAAAACGAATGATTTCCTTCTTTTAGCTTTCCCACCCCCACAAACACCTGGTCTCTACAGCCTCTCATACGTAACCACCGTCAGGGTCTGATTGCCTAATATCCACGTTACGTCTGCTAAGAGTAATAACCCTCATTACATCAGTGGCTTTAAATGAAACCAGAAGTGTGTGCACACTGGATGCAGAGTTTCTCCACGACTGGTCCAACTAACAGCAATTTAATCAGCCTTCCTGGGCTTTCTGTGGCACTTGAAGATCCCCCTGGGACCAATTTACAAAAATCTAAATACTCTTGATTACCTGCTCATTTTTTTTTACGGAGACACTCTGCTCCTTCAAAGAAACCAGATCACAGAGGCTGACCCTGACTCTGCAGACCGAAGCCTGGAGAAGAGAAAGACAGGATTGCATATGGTGCCCTAGTACCTGAAACAATCTCGAAATATCTTTTATGGATTCTCCTGCCCTAGGCCATATTTCTCTCCAAGTACCACACACAGATTGCTTATCCATCCCTCTGGTGCTTTAATATTTCCTCCAGGGAAAAATTCTGTGCTGCTATTGTTAACGTCAAAGGCAATTATGAGAGTGCTATTATGTCAGAAGAGGAAATTCTGTTTGATGGGAAAAATCCCATGAGGATGAAAGTTTGGATAAAACAGGCAACTTATTTATCACTAGCAAAAAGAAAGGGAGGGGCGCCTGGGTGGCTCAGTGGGTTAAGGCCTCTGCCTTCAGCTTGGGTCATGATCCCAGGCTCCTGGGATCGAGCCCTGCATTGGGCTCTCTGCTCAGCGGGGAGCCTGCTTCCCCCTCTCTCTCTGCCTGCTGCTCTGCCTACTTGTGATCTCTGTCTGTCAGATAAATAAATTAAAAAAAAAAAAAAAAGAAAGAAAGAAAGGGAAATACAGAGTGGTGGTGAATCAGACCTAATTGGCCAGTACATAATAAGCAAAAATAATGGCCCCTCAAATAATTGGCAGCAGAATTACATCCATTAGCCTAATATATATAATACACCTAGAATCTCATAAAAGAATCCTGGGGGCAGACCCTGGTGGTTCAAAAACCACTTACGGAAAACTTACCCTGTATTTCAACTTGTACATCCAATAGAGCCTGCTAGTTTTTTCCCTGGTGCTCTCATACTCTCTTTCACTGGTGGATGAACAACAGGGGGACAACAGGGGAACAACAGGGGGCAGGGCTCTCAACTTTAGAAATTGTCATTATGATACAAGAGTCCCGTCCCTCAACTTGATTGTCAGAATTTTTTTTTTAAATATTTTATTTATTTGACAGACAGAGATCACAAGTAGGCAGAGAGGCAGGCAGAGAGAGAGGAGGAAGCAGGCTCCCTGCCGAGCAGAGAGCCCGACGCGGGGCTCGATCCCAGGACCCTGGGATCATGACCTGAGCCGAAGGCAGAGGCTTTAACCCACTGAGCCACCCAGGCGCCCGAGGTTGTCAGAATTTAAAGAAGTTACGTCTCTTCCTATCAGATTAGGGCTACAGAATGCATGACCCCAAAAACACAGTTGTCAGAGTATATGCCCAAATGTCTCTGGTCCCTAGCATGCAATCTGGATTCCTGGGTTCAAATTTTAATTGCTCTACAGACAAGCTTTTACCTCTGACAGGCAACAATTCGTCCTTTCTGTGGGCCTCAGTTTTCTCAACTGTCAAGCAACAGAATGACCTAATTTCTTTTGTTTGTTGTTTTTTGTTTTTGTTTTTGTTTTTGTTTTTTGTATCATCGCATTGAGTTCTACTGATTGACCACAGTAATTCAACTTGGTATTTAAAACAAATCTCCAGGGGCCCCTGCGTGGCTCAGTTGGTTGAGCGTCAGAATCTTGATAATCAGCTCAGGTCTTGATCTCAGGGTCATGAGTTCAAGCCCCATGTTGATGTCCACACTGGGCATGTGGAGCCTACTTTAAAAAATAATAATAAGGGACGCCTGGGTGGCTCAGTTGGTTAAGCAGCTGCCTTTGGCTCAGGTCATGATCCCAGCATCCTGGGATCGAGTCCCACATCGGGCTCCTTGCTCAGCGGGGAGCCTGCTTCTCCCTCTGCTTGCCTTGTGCTCACTTTCTCGCTCTCCCTCTCTCTGACAAATAAATAAAATCTTTAAAAAATAATAATAGTAATAAATAATAAAACAAATCATATTCTCCAGCTGATCTGCGTTTTCTCTACATTTAGCTGTGGAGAGTCTGTCCTGCCAGTCTTCAGGTCATTTCCTGGGTTACTTACATTGATGTGGATGTTATCTAGATGGGATACTCCACCATCTTCTCCAGAAGTCTGACCTAATTAATTTCTAAGGCCCCCCACAACTCTAAAAGTCAATGGTTTGGGGGCACCTGACTGGCTCAGTCAGGTAGAACAAGTGATTCTTGATCTCGGGGTTGTGAGTTTGAGCCCCATGTTAGGCATAGAGACTACTTTAAAAAAAAAAAAAGTCAATGGTTTTATAATCTTCTCTGCCCTTGAATTTGGACCAGGTTGAAGGGTACCTGAGGAAAGGAATCAGTCTTAGAGAAAGTCAGAGTTGAAACAAAAAATAGAGCATTTAGCAGTAACTGAAGCACAGCCCAAGATGGAGTATTTTATTAAGAAGGAAATAGAAGAATCGATTGGTCGGGTTGGATACCTGGCGACTGACTCATGAGGTGTGAGGGGACTCTATGTCTCAAACTGATCTTCAGCCTGGAAGGGTTTGTTGAACTCGTCAGACACAAACTGGGACTCTCAGGAGATACATGGTACAATTCTGTAGAGTGTTGTGCCCTCTAGGAAAATCAGAGGTAATGATTCTGCCATTTTAGTTTTTGAAGATAAAGCAAAGCTTTTTACTTCAGAAACTAGTTTTCCTCATTGCTTTTCTTCTCTCCCATGCTTCCCTGCTCTGCTCTTCTCTGGGATCTTCTTCCAACAGAGGAGTGTATCTTTCAAGCAAGTGACATTGGGCCTGCCAGTGAACATACCAAGATAGCCCTGTTCATCACCTCCTCCATTATGCTGGTGCTTCTGCTCGGGGCAGCTGTGATCGTCTGGAGGAAATCACGGGGCCGAGTCCAGCCAGTGGCGAAGGCTGGCTATGAGAAGCTGGCCAACCCTAGCATGTCCTATGTTTCCTATAAGAGCAGCCATCATGAAAACACCAGTTTTGAAGAGGATCAGGTGATTGAGTACAGGGACCAGGACTATGATGAGGAGGATGATGATGACATCGTCTACATGGGCCAAGATGGCACTGTTTACCGGAAATTTAAGTATGGGCTTCTAGATGATGAAGATGAAGATGAGTTGGAATACGATGATGAGAGTTACTCCTACCAGTACACAAGAGTTCCCCCCAACCCTGCCCCATTCCACTCACAGGCATTCATGTGAGTGTTATAGTTTGGGGGTTTTATCCCCACACAGTGGGCTGATGTGTGGGTGTTTGTCTTTGTCTCTTAACCATGAGTCCAACTAGAGTATGTAAGAATGCTGAAATAATTTGTTCTTCTTTTGAGTGGTTAAACTCAGTTCTGAGGAACAAGGATAAAATTCAGAGAGATTTCCCTCAAAATAATAAATCAAAATACAGGAAGTAAAAAAAAGTGAGATTTGTACATTTCATGAGATTTTTTAAAAAAAGTGGACCTCTAGGAATTCTGTTTCTCAGCTATCCTGTGGAGATACTTGCTGCCTTCTGGGATTCTGGTATTTCTGTAAATGAGTTGGGGGGTGGGGGATGGGGAGACAAAAGAGTTGTTTGTCTCAGGAAATTTTCCTCCCCTGTTAGTGTCATCTTTAGGCAAAGGTTGGTTCTTTTTGGGTCATCTAAAGAGGGTCCTCCTCCTCCTGCTACTTATCAGTCCCCTCCAGACTGCCCCTGAGGAGAAGATGATACTACCTGTGCTAAGGGGGTTCCCAACCTACTTGGAGATGAGGAAAGAAAAGAGAGCCAGCATCAGAGCCAAGGAGCCCTGTGCTCGCTGGGCTCTGGTTCTTCTGCAGGAATCCACAGCCAGTCTGTTCTAGGGACGAGCAAGTTCAGGCAGAACATAGGTAGCAGCAAGCCAGCAGGACAGAAATCATTACATTTCCAAGAATTGCAGCATTATACCCTCATAGTTTTCTAAGAGCTTCTGTGGTGGGAAACACCCACTAAGACATCAAGTAATAGAGAAAAATGGTAGAGTTAACCTAACATAAATTGGGGTAAAATGACAAGAACTGCATCCACTCTGGAAAAACAAACAAACAACTTTTTAGCGTTCATTGACAGCCTGTCATGGACCTGAGAACTCACAGTAGAAAAAGTTGGAAAGGATTCTAACATGGAAAATCCCAACGCCCTGCTCGCAAGTGTTATCCCAACCTTCTAGCACTCTCTACCGCTAAGATCCATTTCTAGACATCCTAGGCTCTCCTTGGTCCACTCTCTTGTCAAGTACAGGTTCAGATTTGTGCACTGGGCCATTTTCTACCAATAGTAACAGAGAGAGAGGGGCTCTTACCATGTGAAATTACATAAGCCGGTTTTTGCAGATTTTCTTGTCCAAGCGGAAGTTACAGGCAGTGCTGGGAGGGGATCACACACACACAAAAGACATTTTCAGACAACAATGCTGCTCATAAAAAAATTTATCACACACCTCCTATAGGTATTGAGATAATTCCTTTAAGAAAAAAGTCACTCCACTTAATATCAGGACATCATGGGGTTGGTACTGTTATTACCCTGTTTTTATAGGAAACCTAAGACTTTTGAGAGGTTAAGTAAATAGCCCAAGGTCACAGAAAGCTAATAGGGATTCCAGCAAAAAGAATGACCCTGATGGGCATATTCTTAATAGCTATGCTATACTGGCATAAAATAAGAAGCAACCTAAATACAGTATAAAAGGGTGGTTATTTTATTTCATGATATGGCAACTATATTATCTTTACTAAATTCATGCATTTTTCTTTTCTTTTAACATAATATATCACTGACACAGGAAATTTCTGTGAAGAAGCCTTCAGAGTACTGAAGGCCTCCATGTTTCTTAAAACAAAGGTTGGCAAACTTTTCTCTGGAAAGGGCCAGATAGTAAATATTTAAGGCTTTGCGCAACGATCAACTTGGCCATAGGCACTAATGCAGCCAATTCAGAACAAATAAGTGGGCCACATTCCAATTAAACTTTATTTATGGGTGCTGAAATTTGGATTTAAGGCAATTTCCACATATCATGAAATACTGTTTTTTGATTTTTTTTTTCTTCCAGAACTTATAAAGGTAAAACCATTCTTAGCTTGGGGAAGTTCAAAATCAGGTAATGGGCCAGACTGGCCAACAGACTACAGACTGCTGAACTCATCTCAAAAAAAAAATCCTTAAGAACCATGTGTATTGATACACACTTGATATGCTTCCAACAGTTTTGATCATTTAAAATCATCCCTTCCAAATCTATCATCTGAAGTTCTGATAGTGCCCTTTTTGATTCTTAGAAAATAAAAATGGATGCAGGATAGCCATCATATGAATGGGAGACTTCTTTATCCCTTCCCGTGTGATTACAGAGTGTAGACTAAGCACGAGTAATTTCATTCGTTCTGTGTTGGTTTTCTTCCCTGGTAATTCTGAAGCCCTGATAGACTGAGTTGTACATCTCTTTGTGTAGCCTGGAAATGGTTTTCCAAGAAAAATCTGTGTTTATGATGCACAGTTAAAGATTCAATGAGGTTGAGATGACCTTGAATACCAAGAAAAATTGTGTTGTTACCTTGTGTGAGCCTCCCCAAAAAAGGCCTGTGCTGTGTGTTGGTACAGTTTGACATCTTTCCTTCCTTGTTCTTGGTCATGCCGCCTTATCCTCGGGCTTCTTTTGAACACTGTGCTAACAACTGTCTAAAAGATAAATATGTGCTTGGAAAACAAACTCACTTTTTGGTTTTCTGTTTGCAAATAACTTGGAAATATTGAAAGGATCCTTATAGACTGGAAAAGCACCAAGAGGCTGAGCGAGGGCTTGGAAAGTTCCAGTTCATAGACAGCAATTTTTAAAATTGGACCCAAAATTAAATCAAGACCAGATAAATGCGATGGGGACTGGCTTATTCACAGCCTATTTCTGAGCCCATTGTGGGCCTGGTATTATGATTTACCAAGTAAGAGACACAAAACAATGCTGTTTGTTTGTTTTAAAGATTTTTATTTATTTGACAGACAGAGATCACAAGTAGGCAGAGAGGCAGGCAGAGAAAGAGAGAGGGAGGCAGGCTCCCTGCTGAGCAGAGAGCCCAATGCGGGGCTCAATCCCAGGACCCTGGGATCATGACCTGAGCCGAAGGCAGAGGCTTTAACCCACTGAGCCACCCAGGCGCCCCAACAATGCTGTTTGTTAAGAGTGCTGTTTTTCCTTTGTATCCATCTACCTCCAATGACTGGAGCTAGTCATAGCTGTCATGAAACTTCTTCCTGAAGAGCAGTCCAAACCATCTGTCAGCCCCACCATCACTGACTCAGTTAGGTTCCCAGTCTCTCTCATCTGGACCTTTCCTGCTTCCTCTTGAATTTTGCTGAACTTCAGTCTTTTTTTCTCCCAATTTACCTCCTATCCCTTTAGCAAAGATCCACCAGATCTCTGGTCCACCAGGCCATTGCATCCAGAGCTCCCCACCATTCATGCTGACTTTGACATTCAAAACTTTGCAAGACAGCCACTGCTCTCTCACCAACCAGTGCCCACCCCTCCTTATTTCTCAGATTCCCCATCTGTCCTGAATTGCTTCTGAGTTCCCCGGGACCACATGCTGGCACTTCCTGTCCTTGGGAACACATGGTTCACTCTCCTTAGCATATTCTTCCCTCGCCTTGACCAATTGAAAGTTTCCAACCCTCCTTTAAAATCATGTTCCCTTCTTAAAACCTCTCTTGGGTGGTCTCCCTTGACTACCTTGAAGATGAATCAGTCTCACCTCTCTGCCACCTAGATGCTCCGTGTGTACAGTTTTTCACATCATGTATCAGTATCTACTACTCGATTCTGTGAGGCGGCTACTATTTCCTTTCCAGAACCTGGCACAGTGCCCAGAACTTGGTAAGCAATCAGGAGCTCTTGGTGGAGTTGAGCTTTAGGAAGACAGGACTCACATATATGAAACAACTGGACATTGATGACGGTATTGAGGGCAGGGTTAAGTGGGAAGGGGGAGGAGAGGTGGTGTCGGTTAAGCAGGAGGGGTACAAGGTAACTGCAAATTAGAGCCTGTGGGGGAGTGTTTCAAGGGGGAGAACTGTGCTTTGACTTGATTTGAAAAAGAGAATGTAGAAGGTCTCCCTCAAAATATTCACTGGAGCGGCGCCTGGGTGGCTCAGTGAGTTAAGCCCCTGCCTTCAGCTCAGGTCATGATCTCAGGGTCCTGGGATCGAGTCCCACATCGGGCTCTCTGCTCGGCAGGGAGCCTGCTTCCTCCTCCTCTCTCTCTGCCTGCCTCTCTGCCTACTTGTGATCTCTCTCTGTCAAATAAATAAATAAAATCTTTAAAAAAAAATACTCACTGGAGTTAATAAGTAGTTGGTCTGACTTTCATGATGATAGTAGTGATAAGATTAATTTACCAAATATACATTAAGAATCGACCATGGGGGACACCTGGGTGGCTCAGTTGGTTAAGCAGCTGCCTTCGGCTCAGGTCATGATCCCAGCGTCCTGGGATCGAGTCCCACATCGGGCTCCTTGCTCATCAGGGAGCCTGCTTCTCCCTCTGCCTGCCATTCTGTCTGCCTGTGCTTGCTCTCTCTCCCTCCC